TCCCTAACGTTCTGTGATTCTGTGATCTGATTTCAGATGCTGGAGTGAAGCTAACTGAAATTCTGTTGTCCAAAACCATCCTTAAATATTCTTCTGTAATTGTTTGGTACCATTCCCATGATGAATTTTGACATCCATACCTCACCTGAAAGAGATTTCAAAATACTATCAGGCTATGATGGAAACTCTGAAAATGTGTCTAGATTTTTATTGGTCTGTAATGGTAATTGGCTTATTTTATTCCTTGTTAATGTGTTCCACAAATTAACAGACACACATTATAAAGCAGACATTATAAAATCTAGTGGAAAGATTGCCACTGCAGCAGAGTTGTTTAAACTGATCTGCATATTTAGAAAAGCTATTCATAGACTGGAGACCTTTCAAAATTAATACCATAAATGAAGGCAGTACTTAATATATCTGTTGTTTCAAATTCCAGATTTCTTGCTCAAATGCTAGATTCTTTTCTGAAAACCCTGTTTCCTCCTCTCCCTCCTATAGTGGCTTCCCATGCCATGGAAGCTGCTTCCAGCTGAGACCAATCGAATGGTTCTGTGTTCAAGGCCAGGTTTGACAGGGCTTTGGGCAACCTGCTCTAGGGGAAGGTGTCCCTGCCCATAGCAGGGGATTGGGCTGGATGATCTTAGAGGTTCCTTCCAACCCAAACCATTCTATGATTCATTTTAACAGTTTTTAACAAGGTTTAACTGATGATATTTAAGTGAAGTGTTGGGTTTTGCGTTCTGTCCTGGCCCTTCACCTCCATGTCTACAACAGTTTGTCTTATGGTGAGGTTTTCCCCAATGTCAAGATCACCTCATTTTTAAAATTAAAATAGGTATGTTTTATATATGCCTTTAAATTACTGTATTTCCTAGTGTTATTGGATTTTATTAGTTATTAGGTTTTTGTGTGTGTAAAGTGTGTGTAATCTGTTTCCTTCCTAGCAACAGCTTTCTTCTGTTCTGCAAGGATTTATTCATGTCAAATAAATCCTGAAGCTTCATGAAATGTGCTTATCACCTTAGTTCTGAAAATGCTTATTCCTTAAGATGTAAGAGTTTATCTTGCCAGGCAGTGGACAGTCTTTGATGACTTTAATTAATAAAAACAAGGCTCTTGTCATACCTTATCCATTAGCTTTCCATCTTTCTTCTCTCTTTGTAGAGCAAAGATCAGATGCCAGTCTGTACCAGAACTTTTGGGGAAGGTACTGTCATGTCATCTGTGATACTAATCTTGTACGCCACTCTGCTTGGCCAAGGTCTTGCAAGTCTTTGATCTGCAGGATTCTCTTCCCACAGCAGATGCCGAATCTGGACCATGACTGACAACGGGCTGTGTGGAGGTGTCTTGCTGAGACGACAAGTCCAGCACTTCTCTGTAGTGGGAGCAAACTCGCTGATGGTGCACCTGGAGCATATGGTACTCTGCTTTCTCAAATAAGTGAGGTCCCTGCAAGGGGTGCCTCATGGACTCCAAAAAAATTGGGTAATTAGAGAACATGATACTGCAGCAAAAGAGGGAGGAAGAAATTCCAGCTTTTATCGATGGCCTCCTGAAACCGCGCAAGTCTTTGTCCAAAAATTTGTGTATCATAGTACCAGTACCAGTACGTGTTGTTCTTACGATGCTTTTTTCTGTCTGTAGTCAGATAGTAGTACCAGTAGCTATTAAAAGCCATGGATCATCTCTGGTTTATGAACAGAAAATTCAATACACAAGGTTTCTTTTTCCTTTTCTTCCCCCTCTCTCCCATAGTCAGTGCATGAAATTCATATTTCCCCTTCCTTATCCATATTAACATCTGCATTTCTTTGTTTTCTGATTTATTACTTACTCTGCTAACATACATTGTCTGACATCAGCATCATCTTGGTCATTTTCTTTTCTGTTGAGTCTGTAGTTTATCTTCATAATGCTTAATTTATCTTAGAATTTGCATTTTAAAATGCAACTGCTCATTTTGGGGCCTCAATATTTGAGTGCTCAACAGCTGAAATGCTTCTAAACTGATCTGTTGAAGGGTGAGGTGCCTCTAAGTTCTGAAAATCGAGCCTTTTGAATGTGTTTCGGGAACAGTGTACAAAGTTACTATTTAGTTTTGAGAAGGTATTTCAGAGTTGTGACTTTACAGTTTTGCCTGACTTCTCTCTTATCTTGGATTTCCTCCAGCTTTTCTCTTAGCTTTTTGTTTAAGTTTGATCTCTGACTTTCCAGTACACCCACACTTCTCATTCTGCAAAAGTACCAGAATCCTTTTGACAATTACTAGGCTTTATTATCAGCAAAATCAAGGTCTAGCCTGTTAACTGGTGAAACTGTAAAAGTTACCTACACTGTGACGCTAGAAGGTGAATATGTTCATCTTCCTGTAATAGGTATTCAGTAGATGAGAAGAATTTGTAAAAGTTGGGTAATTCTGCACTCTTGGAATCTTTTAAATGTTTTAGTAGTGATGAATGGGCTCCTTTCAGCCCTGCCTTACACATCATACACTGTTTTTACATAGCAGCTTTTCCCAGGCAAATATGTGGTAACTGCATTGGATTTTTTTAGTGCAGGAAATAGAACCTGTCACCTCACAGAGATGACTTGTCATGTCAGGACAAAATATATTCATGAAATTGGCAAGTTTAAAGTGCTTTAGGCAGAGGTGCCTTTCTCAGCCTCTTCTGCAGCAATCACTGCATACATAGTAGAAATTGAACAAAACCATGTCACTAAGTTATATCTTTATTAGTAAAGAATACAAGATTGATCTATAGTTTTCTCTTCCATTGTGGCTGCTGGCTGCTGTGTTAAAATTGCTCAGCCATCTTTGAATAGAGTGCCATAATTGCCTCTCTGAAGTATACATGAAACTAAAATTACTAAATCATCATCAGATTTAAACTCTTAAAATCAGCACTTGTTGGCAGTTTTCTTTGTTCATTCTTAGTTCTCCGGAGCATCTGTTTTTGAAGTACATTTGCCAAATTTCTTGTCTTGTGGAAGCTTCTTTCTGCTCTGCTGTTCCTGTTCCTTCTCTTCTTCCTTTCTTCTTCCTTTGTTATAAAACATATTTTAGTTTTACTTGGTAAGAGGCTGCTGTGGGGAAGGGACCTGCCTCCCCACATGTAACATTAAGTTGGCTGTGGAGTTGACTGCCTCAGTCAACTGACTGTCACTGAAAGATGCTGCAGACTGATTTTTCTGTGAATATAAATATCTGCTAAGGAATGGAAATAATTAAAGCTTTCTGTGAGGCTAAGAATTTCAGTAGATATTGCAGTAAAAAGTTGAAGGTTATATTGTTTCCATACACTATAGGGAGAGAAGAGCAGAAGACAGAAGTAAACCATCGTCCAGTTGTGTGTTTGACTCCTGGAATTTGCAAACATCCAATGTTAGTATAGACTTAATAGAATCTGAAAGGATAATTTGCTAATAATAGAAGAATCAACAGAACCTTGTACATAGCTTAATTTCAGTGTTTGAAGTGTTTCTATGTGTTAATTCTGATTGAGAAAGGTTTTGTTTTTAAGTAAAAACCCAGCGTACACAATACTAAAATCCTATCCTAAACACATTCTAAATAAAAAATCTTATTCAAATCAGTTGACAACATAATTATTATGGTTCACCATTAATGTTTACTTTCATCACTAATAGCTGTGTACTTTATGCCACGTGTCCGTGTTCTGTCTGATTGGTTTTATTTGGAATTCTTGTGAACTGTGGGCTGTGGAGACAGTATTGCTGACTGGTTTTTATCCACGCAAGTGATAAGCAAACAAATGGCACTTCACTGCAATATGCTTTGGCCATTCTAGGCTACTGCCTCATTATATGCGTCTCTGGTAGCATTTATTTTAATAAGCATTCAAAAGTTTTCCAGATTTTTACATGTCTTTTTTGTCTTGTTACAAAGTAAGACATACTTTAGAATGTTGGTGATTATGACTATCAAAAGAGCAGAACGGAGAAGACAGGGGATTCTAGAAGAAGAAAAAGGAAATTAAATGCAGAATAAATGAGTGAGACCTTTTGTATTGATTAAATTTCTTCCTTCAAAGCTACACTTTTTAATTAGCAAGTTCAAATATTTGTCTTAGTTTTCAAAGTTCAGGCGGCTCAAACTAAACGCTAGACTGACTCAAAATCCATGTAGTTGTTTTATTATTCTTTCATTAAATCTTGGTTATCTGAAAGTATAGCAAATGTGCTATACTGCTTATTTGGACTATTTCTTCACCAGTGAGCAGTGTGGTGCAATAGGACCAACCCTTGGAGCGGTGCAGTTGTTGCTGAGGAGCTGGCACTCGTGTTCCAAGACATTTCAAAGGATTTTACTTTGGACCAGTTCTGATTTGGTTCTAGGAACTGAAGGCCCATTAGCAGTTGCAGGACATCCTTTGGTTTCATGGCATCCCAAATGAATACAGTTTGTGCACTGAGTGGTGCAGATGCCTCAAGAAGTGATGACTCCAGTCTTTATTTTGGTCTTTGAAACATATAGCCCAGTCTAGATTAAAATAGACAGAATTAGAAGTGTTTCTGATTTTTGATGAATTAGGAAGGCATAACTAATTTGTTGATGGACATACATATTTTTATTTTTTTTTTAATTTAGTAGTTTGTTGAGTCTTATATGCTGATCATCTGAATTGTGATCTATTCAGATTTTAATCTACAAGATCGGAGGCAGTTTTATTGATGTTGACACATTTTCTGCTCCTGATAGTGGAAAGCATAGACATACTTACAAATTCTTGGTATGACAGTTTTTCAGTTTGCTGCAGGTCGGTTGTTTGTGTCAGTAGTTTAGGAAAATCCTGTGGCGTCACATCGGCATAATGTAAAGCAAATTAACACTGATTACTGCTGACCACAAATGAATTCTTCCTGGATCACAAAAGTCTTATTGGACCTTTTACTGATTTTCTAATTATGGGAACTCCAGGCAGCATGTTAGCAATTGGCAGCGTTGTAATATAAATGCTGAAATTTGCTTCCACTACTGTTGAAGAAAAACCCAGTAAAATAAAAAAATAGTGGCTGCAACCACATGAAAAAGTTACATCAATGATAATTACAGGTTTTTGAGGCAGAAATGTGTTGTAGCAGAAAGCTTTATTTTTGATGATGCAATAACTGGAGTATCAATCTTTATGCAGTAAACTTACTGCCAAAAAACCTGTCCCTTCAGCTACAAATACTTACTGCAGCTGTTGTGCCAGGCAGTGCAATGTTGGATCCAGCGTGCAGGCACTCTCCAGTCATTGCTTAGGCTATTCACTCACTCAAGTGTATTTTGCTGGCAGCTAAGTTGTGTTCTGAGGATTTCAATACAATGTGCAGTAGGAAAAAAAAAGAGTAAAATTACTTCCTAGTCATTAAAACTCTTTATTTTTTTGCATCTTACCTGAAGTTGTACTCAGGAACACTTTAAATCACTTTCTTAAGTTGCAGTTATTACCTCCACATGATTGGATAAATGCTTCCATTTTTCCGTTAATGTAAGATCATTTGATGACAGAGCATCTTGCTCTTGGTTTATGGAAGCAGGGTACTGCTGTGGCCTTTCCCTGAACCCTTTGAAATTGCATATAATATATTAAGAAAACTCAGTTCTTTTTTAAAATTATAAGCAGGCATCTAGGTGTAGGGCAGAAGTAGAGATTCTCTTTAATGGAAAATATTAGATTATTACTTTAGGCTTCCTGAGGAGCAAAAGACTACAAAAAGTCTATTTATTGGGTATTATGCTTCATTTGCAGTGTGTTTTTTAAAAACAGCTTAAAGGGAGAAATAGAGCCATGGTTGAAAAGGTCATGACCGTCTTGGAGAAGCTCCCAAATTAACTGACTTGTTAAACAGAAGCAAAGTACTTTTCTTACAGTTATTCTGTAAAACAGTACTTTAAATCATTCATGGGTTTTATATGAAGGGATATATTGAAATAACATCTCACCCTGGATTCTTGGACCTGATGCTCTGATAAACATTAATATCTAAGTCCTTAAAACATAAAAAATATTTGAATATTTGAAATGCATATTGTACTTTTCAGTGTTTTAAAGAATAGTTAGAATATGGAGAAAATGTAGTGTACAGGGTAATATTTAACAGTAGCAATTCCTAGCAAATGGATTGACCTACTGGGTTTAGAGGAAGGATATTTGCGCTTACTTTCTGACATTTTAGAAATCCTTCAGGGTGTCTACAGAAGTGGCATGCTTCTAGAAATAAAGCTGTAGGGAGACTTCAATGGGTATTCCACAGCTCTGCTTTGTCAAAATAGTGATAGCGGATGACTGGGAGAGCTTGGCTTATTGAACCTCCCAAGGGTAAGGCTGAGAGGAGGGTACACAGGCCTGCTTTGAATGTGTTTCAGAGATTAATTCCTGAAAAGAAGGCACGAGAGTAGGGAAAATGTTAAGTGCTTGTAAAACACATAGAGCAAAAACTAGGAAAACATTTCTAATTCTGGAACTGTGCGGTTCAACAGCAGTGTCTAAGGTTCAGGATCCCTCCTCCTCCCCCCAGTTCTGGGTGTCATGAAGCAGTTTAATAAATTTACAAAGCACAGGGATATATGCAAGACACCTGCAGATACCAGTGTATTCGACTCATGAAGAGCAGATTCCTACACACTACTGTATTTTTCTATAACATGCTATAAGTTTGCTAATTGCTTTGATTGGGTGTCTCAGAAATAAAACTGTAAACTTGGTACTGTCATATTTTTTGTTTCACCACAGCTCCATAATTGTTTACATGTAGTACTTGTAATATTGTTTCACATAGGTTATATAATAAGTATTGGTGAGCAACATCCAGTCTGAATTATGGTGTAAAATTATTTTCTCACTAAACCATACACTTAGGGCAAGGTTTAGTTATGCTCCGATGAAGTTCAGTGGACTCTGTTCTGCAGGAAACCAAAGCAAGGGCAGGTCTGCTGAGGGATCTGAGAGTTTGTGACCTCACTGTGGCTCTGGAAATCACATTTTAGCTGAGCATGATCCCTGCCATCCTGAAGTACATCTTTTTACTTCGACTTGCATATATAATACATTCTTTTACACAGGTACATTTGAGTCTATGTCAGTGTCTTTTGAATTGGTTTGAAGGTGCGGATATAACCCTCTTATTCACACTTTTGTTTGTGTAGAGTTTGCAGGTGTGATCTGTGGCGGGTATGACTTGCTCTGCTCATACAGTAGCTGATATTTGGGGTAAAAATGTATTATACTCTGTTTCAGACCACAAGGGATGCCATTTTTTGGCTTTGCCCTTTTAAAGTCAGCTCAATTGTGAAAGTAGGGAGGGTAGTTTCTTGGTCTTCAAAAGTGATTGAATTACTTTATTTACCATAAATTTGACGTGTGCCATGTGTGAAGTTTCAATATGTGTGAAGGCATATGGGATCTGTAACTTTGCAAACAGCAGTTTAAAATAACCAATGAATACTGTACAGGGTATGGATGTATTGGTAGGAGAGTTCAATGAGATACATAGACACAGTGTATAAGTTACTTGCCACTGTCTTGACTATCTGGCCATCCCCTAATGAGTTCGCCTACGCATGCCCTTTTGCTTCCCAAACTGACGTCAGGTATTGTCTTTTTGCTGTGTTTGTACTGAAGGTAGAATAAATGAAATGAATAGGTCAGCCCAGTTCCACTAGGTTCAGAGTGAAAATATATAAAATGAGAAATGAAAAGCAACGTTTTTTGGAAGAGGCTATTTTACTTGTGCAGCGTTATTTTTAAGCATCTCCTTTATTAAATCGGAATTGATGAATTGTTGGAGTTGAGTATAAGGAAAGGTATATTCAAGAGATGTATTTTCATGTTTTAGAGGAGGTTAGGCAGAGAAAGAGAGTAGGCTTATGAGAATGTCAGAAAGAAGATACATTGCAGAAGTACCAGATTTGCTCAAAATAGAGTGCCTTTACTTTATCATCACTTCTTTGATCTGCACAAAGGAAAGAGTTGGGTTTTCTGTTAAAGAGGAGATCCGGTACAGCTACTTAGATTATGTCATTTACTTCCTTTTGCATGGAAAAGCGTTGTTCATATGTAAAATGAATGCAACTTTAGCCTTTAGCATGATACAGATACTGAATATATTATTGACTACTTTTATCTCTCTCTGGCTCCTATTGTACGTGAAATACGTGGCCACGTACAAATACTTGCATAACTGTAGGGTTTGTATGCTTGTAAAACCAAATGTTCTTGTAAAGACAGAGTTTTATCCTTTTATGTTCTTATCTACAACCTCATAAGCAAACATATTTTTATGGTGGTTACATTTTAGTGAAATACCATATGTTGATCATGCTGTTACTAATGTTTGCTACTTTCACTAAAAAACTCTGGACCTCTTTGGTTTTGCAATAAATTGAAACCAAAGAGAAACATATTTGGTAGATTGGCTTGAACTAGAACCATAGGTCAAAACCACTGATGTTTTAGATGCAGATGAATATCTTGTTCTACATCAGTTTTAGCATTGTTTCTTTTCAATTTGGGTCATTCACAGTAGCATAAATATTTTTAAAAACAGTAGATCATTATTCTTTGATAGAGATAATGCACTCCTGAGAGAGACTGTTATTCTTGAGAGTGGTAGAGATGGTTTCTTCAGTGTATGAAGTTTGAAGGCTTTATGTATTTCTATGTGCTATGCTTAACTGCCCTTAAAAAGGATTTAAAGTAAACTTGACAGAGTCAGCAAGCAGTGGGAGCTTTATCTTGCAGCTTTTCTTAGAGAATAAATTATTTTTGTGTTTAAATGTGAATTTTATGTTAATGGAATAGGCTTATATTCGTGAGATGCATTCATCAAACAAAAGCGTTTTGCATATGCATGATGTAAGTGGGAAGGAAATTGGCCCTTGAGAGGTCCTGATGGTTTGTCTTAGGAGCTGCCGAACCCAGCAGTACCAGTGCAGTCACCTGACCTGAAGGATTTTGACATTTTTGAGGTAGTTGAGACCCTAATGATGCTGCAATAGAGAATTGTACTTGTAAATGAATAGGTGGTTAATCAATGGAGTAAGATGCTGCCTATATATTATTGTGTGGATATATATCTCTCCCACCTTTTTCATGTATGGACTAGTTAATAAATTATGCAGTTTGGTTTATCAGATGGCCGTGTTTAAAGGGTGTTTTCTCGTGAACTTTGACAGAATGATAGCTTGTCTGCTAAATACCTGGATCTGCTTCACCAAAGAGATTTCAGGTATTAAAAGAGCAAAGAAATTTATAGAAAGATTTTGCTTTGTAGGAAGCTTCTTTGATTTTTTTCAGTAAGAAAAAAAGCTAACTCCTCATTTTCATTTTTGCATAAACCTTGCGTTTTTTGCATGAAGTTGGTGTGACAGGTCAAAGCTGAACTCTGCAAAGTACAAGGTGTTAGAAGTCTCACGTAGTTGCTGCGTAACAAGATTGTCAATGGAAACCTTTGTAGGATACCCTGCATTATTTATAATTCTTTCTTTACAGTATGGGATTTTATGGTATGGTGAAGGAATGAGTCTGATATATTGCTTAACTGATTACATGGAACCTGTGCAAAATATTTCACTTAAAGTGTATTAGATTTATATTTAAGAATTAAGAAATCATGCATTTAAAGCAGCACTTCCCCTAAATTGCAGATAACCTTGTTTTGTACTGTCCCAAGCCATCTATTCTGCAAGGCTACTTTCCAGTAGAAAACAGTGAAGAGCTAAGTAGTCATTTCAGAGTAATTTTTTTTAAGATCAGTTGGCATTTAGGGAAAAAAGTGCATATAATTAAAGTTTAATGGGAATATTTTTATTTTTCTTAAAGGGATTACCTACAGTTCTGCTTACTCATCAGATGGATGGGCATGAAGGTGCATGGACAATATTACCCTTAATGAGAGAGTAAGTGTAATGAATGCCAGTTATTTTTGGATTTCTTTGCAACCAAGCATATAAATGTTAATTACTCAGACCTCTTTTTTCAGAACCAAAAGTTTTTGAATGAGAGCTGCAACCATATCTTTTCACTTTCTAACTCTTCTTTTTTTGGTTTTACAAAGTAATTTTCTGTTAAATTTCATTAAATCAGAGAAAGCTATTTTACATAAGAGAACAACAATACTATAATGTAAGTGAGCAACTACCTTCTTCAAATCATTGTGGGTTTTAAAATTATTAAGGAAGTAAGCTAGCCAATAGAAATACCATTTTAAAATGTGCCTTTTCATATTTGGTCCTCACTTTTCACAGTGTAAGGTGTGAGGTATTTGAGAACTTCTGACCTCTCAGATTATTTGGCTGAATGAAGTGGATAAATATTTTTTAAAAATAGGTAATAATGTCTCTCTGGGTATTGCTTATAGTGTTTCTAAGAGGTGGTACATTTCTAAAGTGAAAAAAATGTATGTTTCAGCATCTTTTTAGGAGTTTGTATGGCCATTTTTCAACCTAGTATGGTCAGAGAAGACAAATAATCTCAAATATATTTTCTTCTTAGCTTATGCAGATGGCTCCAAGGAGCACATGCTGCATTTACTTGGTAGTGTGTTGCAAACTGTTAGAAGGCAATGATTTCCGTTTCAGAGAAAAGTCCTAAAGCTCCATAGCACTGAAGGCTATACTTTGCCTTAAACTTGCATTTGAAACTGATGCCGTGGGCTCTGCAGCCTCTTCAGGTTTAATCTAGTTAGTATCGTTTATTGGAGTTACTCAAAGGATGTTTTAGTTTGAGGTTTTTGCATCAGACTGGTTGCAGGACAGGGTGCTGCTCTCTGTTCTGCTTTCCATTGCTTCCTGTGTGTGTGGAAACAAAAGAAGAGTGCTTGTGAAGTAGCTCTATTTGAGATGCGTGTAACCTGTGAAAAGAAGCAAAAGGAGAACTCAAGTAAATAAAAATGACCATGAGCCAGCACTGTGCCCTTGTGGCCAAGAAGGCCAATGGCATCCTGGGGTGTATCAGGAGGGGGGTGGTTAGTAGGTTGAGAGAGGTTCTCCTCCCCCTCTACTCTGCCCTGGTGAGACCGCATCTGGAATATTGCATCCAGTTCTGGGCCCCTCAGTTCAAGAAGGACAGGGAACTGCTGGAGAGAGTCCAGGGTAGGGCTACAAAGATGATTAAGGGAGTGGAGCATCTCCCTTATGTGGAAAGGCTGAGGGAGCTGGATCTCTTTAGTTTCCAGAAGAGGAGACTGAGGGGAGACCTCATTCATGTTTATAAATATTTAAAGGGTGAGTGTCACGAGGATGGAGCCAGGCTCTTCTCGGTGACAAACAATGATAGGACAAGGGGTAACGGGCACAAGCTGGAACACAGGAGGTTCCACTGAAATTTGAGAAGAAACTTCTTCTCAGTGAGGGTGCCAGAGCACTGGACCAGGCTGCCCAGAGAGGTTGTGGAGTCTCCTTCTCTGGAGACATTCAAAACCCGCCTGGACGCCTTCCTGTGCAACCTCATCTAGGTGTTCCTGCTCTGGCAGGGGGATTGGACTAGATGATCTTTTGAGGTCCCTTCCAATCCCTAACATTCTGTGATTCTGTGTTTCTGTGAAAAAACTGGAAGATGATGTTCTAGCTATCCGTCATCTTTGGTCTTCATTCTTAGCCCCTGTTTTAATGACCTAGTTGTTCCTTTTTTGAATTATTTCTCAGTGACAGAGTTTACAGATACAGCTCTTACAGGATTTCACAACTCAAGCAAAAATAGAAGAGCTGATTTTTGTGATAAATCAGAAGAGTAATCTTAAGTAGAGGATTTCCATCTTGAAGAGAGTTCTGGATATGAAGTTCCTTGTGTCTACTGTTTCTCTTACCACTTTTGGCAGAATGAAGACACGGAGTAGTTTAGAAGTATGTCAGTGTTGTGAGGCTTGCACTTCTTAGTTTTTTCAATGGCCAGAAGAGGAGGAAGGGAGATTGAAAGGATCACCCCATTTTGCAGCAGGTGATGATGCTAGGAGTTGTGCTACAAGATGCATTCTTATCTGAAAACTGCTTTCAGAATGGCTTCCCTCAGTTCTGTGGTTGTCAGCATTTTTAAGTAGGCCTCTAAAAAGTTATGAGAGTTCTTATTTTCAGTTCTTGGGCACAGGTTAACTTGGACAAAATACTTCATTTCAGCAGATGTAGTCATAAGACATCCATTGATGTCTTATGTACACTTACTGTCTCCAAAAGTCCCACTGCATTTGTTCTCAGTAACCACATTCACTGAGCAGAAAATAAATCCCTTTTTAAATTTTTACCCTGGAACTGGATCTTACTTGAGTATCTCCAGTGGCTTTTTGCAATCTGTACTCCAAATCTGTGTGCTACGAGATCTACGTAAGTCTCTCTGCAAGCCTGAAATACTTAGCCTTGATAATCACTGTTTGTCCATGAATAGCTAGATCAACAGATCATTCTTTCTGAGAAGTTGAATGTGCTATATTCACACGATGCAGTAATTTTTTTGTGTGGATTGTTCTAGTGCTTTTCTCCTTGCTCCTTACCCACCTGCTTTCATGTAAATCCAGATATTTCTCTCCTAAAGGTCTAACTGAGTACCAGTGTGTAAGAGAAAAGCCTTCAGTCTTCACACCGCATTGAATGCTGTACATATTAAAAACCAGGAGGATCTCTGATGCCCTTTCTGTGCTTGTTTGGCAAGTCTTAGGAGGAGCAGCTAGCCAGTGTCTTTCCCAGCTGATTGTAACTTGTTTGCTTGCCTGAACGCCAAAGAATTGTCCAGATTTCAGTGCTGTGTAGGCAACAAGTATGTTTTTATGAACTGAAAAAATGAATGTATTGAGAGTCCTTCTGGCTATTACAGTTTAGCAGATTAAGTACCATAAGCAAAAAGTAGTGAATGCTAAAATACCTATGCAAGACATGGAGGAAAGGTAGCTTCCTAGGAAGATAGCTTGTCCCAGATGAAAAAAGACTGAACTAGTTTAGCACCTGGCAACCATCTGGTGCTTCTAGCATGTAATTTAAAGATGCAGGTATCACATCTGCTAGAGTAAGTATTTCTCAGATAGTGTGTTTGGTGGTTTGATTTTTTGCTGTTATTGTTAGGCAAATACCATTCCCTAAAACTTAATTGTTCCTATCATCCTTTTTTACTTATTTGTGCAGACTTACATTTCTGCTGTTTATTTTTGTTGCTGATGTTATCAGTAGATGATGCTGGAGAGGAAATCTGTGAGGTTTATAGGTGCTAATTTTCTTATCCCTCTCCTCAGATGACTCCTTTAATTAAATCAATGTAAAAGGTGTCCAAAGGAAACTGGTCAAGTAAATATGGGCTTTTTCTTTTTCCATTAGGATGTCATGAATTAGTAAAGCTTTGTTTTGTTAAGTAGAGGAAGATTTAAGCTGGGAGGAGTAGAGAAATAAGGAATGAGAATTATCTGGAGGAATCAGGAATCCTGCATTGAGCTTAGTGTTAGCTTTGAGGAAGGTAGGGGAGTCCCTTCAATCTGTGTAGTTTCACTGCACTGGAAAAGCTAATGAAGTTTTTAGCTTGTGGATGATGATTATGATCAGCATCAAACAGCTGTGGGAAAACCAGTCTTTAGCATTTTCATGATAATTGCAGTGGTGTTTGGCGCCCAACAGTGGGGCTTCTTGGAAGACAGTTAAGGTACAGAGGGCAAGGTAGCTTAAACTGCTGTCTATAAACTTTTGAATTGATTTTCGTATCTCTGTTCCCTTCTTCATGGAGTATCAGGTGCTATATAAACAGGCAGGAGCAGAGGCAATATCTTCATCTATTCACTGTAGTCCTTTGGTTAAGTTAGTAGTAAAAGTTCCTGTTTCTGTGTTAATAAGTAATTGATTGCAAAGTACTTATATTTGGGGATGTGGGTTGAATCTATAATTCTGTTCATAAGCCAGCTTGTTAGTAAAATGTTAATTTCTTTTGTTAGCTTCTCTGTTACCTATGGTAGGAACTCCTCATGGATTTTCTTCTGTGAAGAAGATACAAGAATACAAGTTGTAAAGCTGCTAGAAACACTTGGAAGATTTGACGAGTCTAAGGTGAAATAAAAATTTAGATATTTAACTTTCTTTTGAATGTGCTTGAATGGGTTTTTAGATTAAACCTGTGGAATAATTTTAAGTAAAAAAATTATAAAGACAGAATTTTAGAATTCCTAGGTATGGAACAGTTTCTGTGGTCCAGAATTTAATTTTATAATACTGCCTGGATGGCTCAGAGCTCCAAACATTGGAAAAGATGTATCCAAACAACTTAAAATAGGAGGACAGATTTCTGTTGCTGAAGCTGAGGGTGAGCAAGGTATTTAACATGAAGCAGTATGAGCACCTGTCTAGCTGTTGAAGAACTGTTAAAATTGAGCAGCTAAATGATTCCTTCTGTGTATAGCCTGAAAATTACATAGCATCAGTACAAAGATGAATATAGTCTGCTGTGTGGTCTCATCCTTATTTTCTTGTCTGTCATCAGTTCTAATTATCATCAGACAGAATGACTGATGCTAGTTTGACGAACTCTCTCTGCTCTAATATAGTAGGGTATTTTATTTGTGTTCTGTTTCTGAACTGTCTTGGTGATAAGACAGTTTTCTTTGCCTGCTGGAAAAGAAACAACACCAAAAGAGTTGCAGAACAAAAGAAAAATACAATCACCATGGTACAAAGTAAATTTGGCAATGCAACTGACACAAAAACTGCTAATGTTTAGAATTCCCAATATCCAGATAAAAATTCAGCTAGATATCCATCCTTTGCCTGGAATAAAAGACATATATTTTGCACCTCCTGTGCAAAATGTGTTTTGTGTCTTTACTGTTACCTTGACTGAGTATTGAACTCTGCTTCAGGTCTCACTTCAGCATATTTTCTTCTGCTGGTACATGGCCTTGTCATGTTTTCTCACAATTCTTTTCTAAAATTATAATAATTCAGAGATCGTACATTTTTAAACACTCTTGTCTTCAAAACAGCTGACTGAATATATTAATGCCTTTGGAATATCCATTTGTTTCTGTTTCAGAAACATCTACTCCTAATTGATGTTCTCAGAATAGAAACATAAATTTTTTTGTTCTAGGTGCTGCCATTATGCCAGTTTTAATCTCTCCTTTGCATTATATGTAAATTCTAATGCAATAACAAATTATATTCCAACCTGCATTAAAAGGAAAATAAAATGTTGCTTTTGTGTATGGTAATTGTCATCTTAGTGTAACAGCCCGTAACTGATCCCATATAGACAGTAGTAGTCCATCAGTCACAAAATTTAAGATGAGTTAGACCAGAATGAGCTCATTCATTATTCATTTTAAAATGTCAGCAGTCTGCATAATAAAAAACTGGTATACATTAATCACAATAAAAGGTCTATAAGAGGCATGTGAATAGTTGAGTCTGCAGCTTTTCAATGTGGATATATAGAGATTTTTAACTACTGAGAGTGATTTGTATGTAACATTTAGTGAAAACAGATACGTGAAAGCATCATAAGAGACTGTGGAGGAATATTAAGGGAATGACCTGCATTGGTAACCAAGGACATTGACTGCACTAAAACTGAAAAACCGTGATGAATATTTGATTTATGTAAAGACCTCCAGGCAGACACTCAGATGGTGAAACACTTTTTACTGAGAGGGTGACTGAGCACAGGCATGGGTCCATCAAAGGGAGTCTTCATCCTTGGAGATAACTCATAAGCTGTATGGACATGGTCCTGGGCAACCTGCTGTGTAGGTGGCCCTGCTATGGCAGGGGAAGTTGGACCAGATGGTCCCCAGAGGTCCCTTCCAACCCCTCTGTGATTCTGTGCTTCAACAACAGATTGCGTCAACTCGTGCTTTCATAATGGAAGACGGCAGCAAGGTTAAAACAAATTTTATGTGCCATTCTTCTTCCTGTCATCTGAACAGCATGATAGACGAGCCCAGAGATACACAGAATGAGTAAACCAAGTTGATGGGCAGCAGTGACTTAGTAGCTGTTGATACCTAAAGGGTGTAAAAGATCGTCTGAAGAGCAGTTTGTCTTTGAGAAGCATAAGAACTTAAAAGATGTTGTAGTAAGACACAGCAAGACTGTGACAGCTGAAATCTCATGTCCTCTCTGTCAGACACAAGTCTTGAACAGATGAATTCGGCGCACCACATGTCTTGGTACTTGTGAGTAAGTGGATGCAAGAGTAAATAGCATCAACTTGGTGATTTTTGCCATTTTTGAAGCACAATATATTAACTCACTTGGTGGATGGTAGTTAAACATTGTGCAATAAATCACATTCTTAATCCACATTCTTGCCTATATGCAATTTGATTACCATAATTCCTTAAGTTACTTTATAAGTTCCTTTGCATATATCTAATTTAATCTTGTAAAGCCAGCCTGCACAGATTTACTTGTCCTACATATCAATGTAGTAAATAAACAGTGTTATGACCAAATGAGCTTGGAGGTTATTAACTGTAACCTGGAATGCCTTCACTGTAATTTGTAGGTTAATGCTGCCAGAAGTAATATTATATTAAAGCCTGTGGTAAGTATATGTATGGGTTTAATTTTCTATCTTTTATAGAGAAAGGAAAGTAAGGTGGTTGTTTTTAATCTATAGATTGTTTTGGTGTAAAAACTAGCATGCAAAATTAGGATAAGTAAAGATTTTTTTTTCACTCTGTAGCATAACAAAGTGAAGGTCCAGAAAAAGAATTGTCTGCAGATGGTACTGTCATATTAAAATATTACTATTTATTAACTGTTTCTGAAACAGAATACTGTGCTTGTGTTAGGAAAATTTTGAAGCCTTGTAGGCCCTAAAAGTATTAAAAAATGGTGTGCTCAAATGCTTCTAAAGAACTATTTTGATTTCTTCAAAGCAGTCATCTTTGTGCATAAAAATCAGTATGTTTGCCCATTTTCTTTTCCCTCCCAATATTTTGTTTGTTTTTTCATCCTTCCAGTGAACACTACTGAATCCTTCCAATAAGGGAAGGCGAAAACAGGATCTGTTGTGATTGAAGGTGTAGATCAAAGGCTGAGTAAGTAGGTGCTGGGCAGTGACTCCTATGAAGGTGGTTAAAATAATGGTGGGAAAAAATCTCCACCTTTACCTTCTCCATATACTGGGTAGTGTCAGTTTAATTTTGGCTGTTTCCTCAACAGATCCCTGAACACCCAGCTGTCAGCCTCAGGAGATACATGGGGATTATGGGAGCAAGCAAGTTTTCAGCATTTGTGTTATTGGAAGAAGTCACTAGTCAAGTACAAGATGTATTCAATTTAGTTTTATTGAGAGGAGCTGATCCACATAGAGTGGAGCAAATGTGCAAAATTCAGGGAAAATGCACTCAGCACCTCACGTGTACATGAACATGCATACTACGTTATACTTGTTTCAGTCCCTTGGAGAGTAAGGGTTCTTGCTAGAGGTTTCATCCCATAGCTTCAGTTCGTGGTTGCTTATATGGGTCCTCACCATCCTTGCAGTGATGGGGTTCTTGAAGCAGGCAGCACCCTGTAGCTTTGACTCGGTGTGTGTGGCAAATGGATACTTGGGTCCTTCTTCATTTAACCGTTTTGAAGATCAAGGTATTTAAATTGTATTTGCTTTATAAGTTCCTTAGTGTAAAAGAGGCTAGGCAGATGGAAATTCAAGATGGTTATATATAAAGTTCTTGAATGCAGTGCTTCTGAGTGTCTTGCCTATCAGTAGTCACTTTGGGCAGTCAAACATGGGAACAGGTTGCCCAGGGAGGTTGTGGAGTGTGTTTAAAACATGTCTGGACAGAGTCCTGGGCAGCCTGATCTGACTGACCCTGCTTGAGCCTGGGGGATTGGTCTCTGCATGATCTCAAGAGGCTTCTTCCAAACTCAGCCCTTCTGTGATGCTGGGATTCAGTCCTCTCTGAACTGGTGGAATCCAGGGCGTGTGCTGGAGTCTGAAAATACAGTGTGCACCTGAGGTCAAGAGAACCGCTTTTAGTTTCTTTTCTTACCAGGTACAATTTTTGTCTGGATTATTGTGAACAATACACTTTGCTTGTTTTTGTTTTCAGGTTTGCTTTATTCAGCATTAATGCAGTCATCATCTTCACTAAAAGGATGCTGTAGATGAACAAAATTGTTTCCTATATTCCTTTACAGGAGTGGTTTTTAGGTAAAGCGTTATATGATGAAGAATCTACAATAATTCACCATTATGCCTTTGCTGAAAATCCTACAGTCTTCAAATTTCCAGATTTTGCTGCTGGTTGGGCACTTAGCATTCCACTTGTTAACAAGTAAGAATTGAATTTTTAATCATTTCTTAATTGTTTATTGATAGTAATTAAGAGTGCTGAATTTGTACAAATTTTCTAGATACTAATCAATATTCTTTTAATGAGTTATGATTTCATATGGATTAATATTTTGTATAAAAGATGAAGGTCTGCCTGCAGTGCACTTGAAGGTCTTACTGCAGATTACGTAGGTACGCACAGTCAAATTTAATTTTGAGCTGTCTTTGAATTGAAGCTGCTGACTGCAGCTTAGCTGTGACTGGCAGCCTGGGATGTACTCAGCCAGTGCAAGTTGGCCTCTCATGGGTTTGACTTCAGAGCCTACACTGAGCTTTTGCTGCTGCCACCTGTATTATCAGCAACCATGCAGGTACACGTGAGTCTGCTTTAGTTTGAGGCTCTAGGGTGCATAGCAAGGCATTCAACCAGGCACAGTAATGTACAGCTAGCTCTGGGTATGCCTACATAGGCTTGTGTTCCCACTATAAACTCCCTTGATAAAATTCCATTTCTTCCTTATTCTACACATTCCAAGCTTGATTATTATAAATAAACACTGAATAATTCATTAGTAGACAGGGGTACAGAAGTAGATTTCTGTATCATTGCTGTACATGTGGTTATTTTGCCTATCTAAAAGTTAATGTCATGTCAGCTAGTTAACAGTTGTCCAGTACTAGTCGCGCAACTAGTACAATACTATCTCTTGTCATTTCAAAATGTAGTCTCCCACAGACAGCAGTTTTATTTCTGGATCTTAGAGTTGACTACATTGCCCTCTAGAAGTGTTTCTCTGATGCTCTAGAGACAACCTAGATATTTATTTCAGAGTAGATGCTTAGTTTTTAAATGAGATTTGAAAAGGTCATAAATTTCAGAAGTTGAATGCATCTCGCTGTAGCAAAGATTGACATTTTCATAAATTGAAGGTACCTAAATACTGTGCTTTGGAATACACAAAAAGATAATATTGTCTGAGATGCTGATCGATATTGAGCTTCAAACACACTGCTGCTTTTAATCTGTTGAAAATGCTATACCAGGCTGTCCACCTACTCCAGATAAGAACTTTGTTCTTGGGCAGGAAGAATGAATCAAAATGTGTGCTGAAAACTAATATTAAAATCATCACACTGTGTTCAGATGAAAAAAATTGTATGAAAAAGAAATATAAATTGCTTCTCGAGACAATAAGTACAGAAGTGTGATATTTATTCCTGCCAACTGCACCTTGCTCAGTACCAGCCATACTTTGCTGCATACACTAGTGATTGATTTTTTAAAAAATACATTTTTTGAGTAAATGTCTTCATCTTTAATTGTATAGGCTTGCAAAGAAGTTGAAAAGTGAACCACTCAAGTCAGACTTTACAATAGATTTAAAGCATGAGGTAAGCAGTGATGTGATGAAAGAAAAAATCTCTCAAGTCTAATATATTAGAGTGGTGATAAATGATAATGGAAATAACAGATTTTCTTAGAGGTTGCTAAAGTTTGAATGCAATTGCCTGTTTAATTTCTTTCCCTTCTTTTAGAATATTATAATACTTTAAAATTGTATTTCAAGCGTAGAAGAATTCAATAATAAAATTGCATTCATATATGAATACATACATGGTTGTATATAGTGAAGTATCTTCCAAGGCTTGCTCTATGAAGGAGAGACCACTTCCAATTCATGAAGCCTAAGCTGACGGGAGTAGTGCCTCAGATACTAGCCAGCCTCTCTCACTTTCTAAATCAGACTCTGAGAGCTAAATATGATGGAGTTTGGATTAAATAGTCTGAGGATCCTAACTGTTGTGTGAACAGTCAGCTCTGCAACTTGCAGCAGGGAAGTCTGGGAATCTTTTTTGCCTCTAGTTTGCAGCATTTTTAAAAGGTAGCCACTGAGTCTTCCAGAGAATGAGTCAACTGAAAGGAACATGTGAAGAAAGGAGTGGAAAGGATCTGAACAAATATCAGTGCTCCTTTTTCTGAAGCTTTTTTATTTTTTCTGCCTTCAAAAATTTTTGTGCAGCCCACAGTTTTCTGCTGTCACCAAAGTGAACTCCTGAACCAGAGTAGAAGGGGAGGATGAATCTGAAATAAGCTTGCTGATTCTGGCCTGAAATTATGAGTGATGTTTAATTCATTTTAATATTTTAAAACTCCTGAAAGTCAGCTATAAATTGTAGTTCCTGCCCAGAAAAAAACCCCACCTTATTCAAAACTGCTGCTGCTGTTCCAGATCTTTATTCTGTAATGGTTATAAACCTTCTTATTTCCAACATAAATCCACAGTGTATTTATAGAGTATAAATTGGTGGCATATTTAAATGCATTTGGTTTTGTGCCCACACTGTTCTTTCACATAGTTTCCCCTCCTTGACTGATGTATTTCTCAAAAGCAATTGGACCCCTCTCAGCTTTCATTTTGCTATGTGAAACAAGCCAGCAAGCTTTTTCTTTCCTCTTGTTAATTTTTCCACATGCAAGACCTTGGGCTCCACACTGTTAAACTTCTTTTTGTAAATTACCTCAAAGTCATTTGTATATTCCCAATATTCCAGTCTACTTCAGCACTAAAAAAACCTCTACACATAATGTAACTTAAAAAAAAAATAATTAGCAGACATTTCTTTTATGTGCCACAGATTGCTTAATGAAAAACAATTGATCACTTGTCTGGCAAAATTACTTCCATCCACTTATTCCGTAAGCAGTTCTTTGCATATGTTTCATTTCAGATTTATTGCCATTGATAACCTACTTTAGCTCTGTAGTTATTCTTTCTGCAGTCTCGTGTCTCCCTAGAGACAGTTCCATTCCCTCTCATTTATTTTATAAATCACCATCTTCTTCTTCTTAAATAATTTTTATCTCTGTGTCCTTCTTGTGTGAATCAAGACTGACAACAAATCAAAGGATCTAATCTGTGATCTTTAATGACTGTGTAGAATGTTTAGATTTATAAAGGATGATAAATGTTTTAAGTAATGTTTTAGTTCGGCAGAGTCCTGATAACATGCGCTTATAGTCCTTGGTATTTTATTGCACTCCATATCAGGTTTTTTTCAGCCTACTACTTTACAAGTCCCTATCTCTTACATCCATAACATTTATATCACTTTCCATCTGGAAGGCCTATCGTGCAAATATGGTAAAGGATTTTTGTCATGCTGCTGCTGATTTCTAGATTGTTTTTTAGACTTCTGCAGCTGCACAGCGTGTAGCATATTTCCTGATGCTGTTTCAAAACTGGAAGGGAATAATGAATTTTTTTATGTATCTAACATTTGATTTGAACTAGGACTAAGACTAAGAATATTTTTTGTCTTTTTATTATAAACCTGTTTCCATTGCTTTAGGAACAGTCTGCCGTCCTGTTCTGTAACCCCAAATGGCACTCTAACCTTACTTCTGAAATATGATAGCTTCATACCATTGTAAGGCTTTCTACAGAAGATTTCATTATTCACTGGGAAATCTTAGCACATTATGGACTTTCATAAATAATTCATGTTAAGTTACAGTTGTTAAATATTCTTTGTGCTGCAGGAGCTTTGCTTCTTTGTTGTTTCATATGATAAACATTAATTCTGAATAGCTGAATTCTGAACTAATACAATCTTAAAATGTACTGGAAGCTCTTTAGAAATCCCATCCCATCCCAAACTAAACAGAAACAGGCAGGGTCAAGAACCACTTACATCCCATAATGTGAATGTGGTGACAAGGCAAAAAGATGGCCTTGGAGATGTAAGCATATTTACTGGCTGGTCTTACCACAAGCATGTATGTGTTCAATGTCACTTCCATACTCCTCTTCCGCTCTAGGCACTATCAATAGTATTTGTCCTAATTGCCACTCATGCTTACGCATTTTCTTCCCTGTAAGAGTGGTCTTTCCCTTTAGTGCTTTGTTGAACTCATCTGCAGTGCTAAGGTCATCTGTGTTTCCAGGAGCATTGCTAAAGCAGCAGATAAACAGATCACTTAGTAATGGTTAGGCCAAGAGAAATTAGAACTTGCAAACTATAAAACTTGTCATTTTGAAAGAACCTGCAGCTGAGTTACAGTGGTTTGGCAAGTCACGATCAGCTGAGCAGTAGCAGTGACCATATTTGTTCTCACAGCTCTGTGGTCTGCATCTGCTCAATTACAAGGAAAAATACAGTAATTAAACTCTTCTGAGTGCAATCAAACTAAATGTTTTTACTTTGCAGTTGAAGCATGGGTGTAGTTATGACAACACAGTTACAATCAGCAAATTGCTAAAAAGTTATCAGTTAATTATGTTCTAATATGTGACTGTACCCTAGCTGTTTGCTGTCAAAAATCTTTCCAATCTGGAATCTTAAGATTCACAAATATGATTTTACTCTCAAGCCTGCCCCCAGTCCTAACAGGGCCTGTAACAAACTGGCACTTCTGTTTTATCCCCTTTAAGTTCCAGAAATGGCTATGTGCAGGTAGTTGGGATTTTCTGAGGTTGTTGAGACCTAAATGACATGGGCAGGAAAATAATCGCCTATAACTTAAAGTCTGTCTACTTTGAAAAGCTGAAAATTGCCACATAGGATAAAACAGGCCTAGCTGTTCCAAATTATCAAAATAATTTTAAAAGTGCAGCACAATAAGGACTTTTGTTTACTTTAAAATAAGATGTAAATATTCACTCTACCACTTATAAAGATTATTTGTTTTGACATACTTAAATATATTAAACTAATTGTAATTCTGTGAAACAAATTTTAAAACTTCTCTGTCTATTAAATTTCTTTTATAGCAATACATGTTGCATCTACAAACGTGAGCATGAAGGTATGCAGGTAGTTACTCAACTAAGGAGCAGATCTTCTGCCATATCCCATATTTTTCCTGTTTCTGTTTAGTTTGTCCTGTCAGGTGGTTTCTTTGTATGCCCTGAGAATTTTTATCCAGTTTTCAGTACTGATATAAGTGTTTTCTGTTTTGATAGATTGCCCTGTATATTTGGCAGAAAGGGGAAGGACCACATCTTACTCCAGTGCCTGAGTTCTGCACAGATGATGTGAACTCAAATAAGGTTGATCAGTGTGCAACAACATTCAGTAATTTTCTGCCACTTTGTGTAAGTACCGCATTTTAACCTCTTGCTTAGTAAAGGTAAACCTCTTGGTAAAATGCATAATACTTGACTATAGAAATCTCAAGCCTTAAGAATATTTTTCAATAAGTTAAAAAAAAAGTTTGTTCTGGTATTTATCTATTTTTGGATATGCTTTCAGCATATGCTTTAATGGATCTTTCTGCCACAGTGTTTGAGCAACACATGATCTATTTCTGTGAATACTGAAACATAAATAATCTTCTTTATTTTTTTAAATATAAATTGTAATCTAGTATTTGATGCATTAAAGTACCAACCATCTCTTCCACCTCCAGGAGGATACATTTATGGTATTATGGGTTAACTGTTGCTAGAGGCCAAAAAGTGTTCCATGTTTCCAGGAGAGCAAAATTCTAAGTGTCAAAAAGGAAAACAAAACCAAAAGGTTAAGTGATTTATTACAGTTGAGAAAATTCTAGTGTGTAGCATATAAGCTGCTTTTTCCAAGTACAGTACAGTTCAACATGTTTTTATAGTGATTAATTTCAAAGAAATTAAAAAATACTAATTTTTTTGATTAATCATTCTTAATTCAACAAGTTCTACTACTCATTCTCTTTTCCTAATGATATGTGGTTTAGTTCATGTTAGAGTACTATGTCAGTAGAAAAAGTACTTAAATAATGTTATTTCAGGAATTTTAAACCACTAGTGACTTTTTTTCTAGAGACTAAAATGTACTTTCTGCTGTATTAGTGGTACAGTGTTCTACTTGATATGCTATACAATGAGAAGCTATTTTCTCTTTCATTATGTGCATGGACATGCATATCCTATAAAATGTTACAGGCAGAGCCTCCAATTAAAAGGTTATTTTTTGTTCTGTTTATATAGGGAGAGCCAGTGAAAAAGGAAGATGTCTTTGTTGCTGTAAAAACATGTCAGAAATTTCATGGAGACAGAAGTAAGTTGTTAGTTAGTCAAGGTAGTAGTTCCATGCGATGTAGTTTATGAAATTAATATTTAAAAAACAAGCTGATACACGCTGTCTCTGTAGCCTTTTGAGACTAAATGTTTGCAAAATCCATTGGGAAGCAAGAAAGCTTCAGAATTGTAAACTTATTCTTTAGGTAGGTTTTCGGGGCTTTTTGCTGTTCAGAGTTCTTCAGGACTGCTATGAAATTTTTAAGAAGAAAAGTTGTAGTTGGTTGATGTTTCATCATCAGTGATTGGTTAACAAAAATCTTGGAGTTTAATACCTAAATTAAAAAATATGCATAAAGTTAGCTTATATTGCTGTAAATTGGAGCTGTTGCATATTAATTAATGTAGCAGCTATTAATATCCTTCAGTGTTTCCCCCAGATAACTGGTTCAGTCTGTTCCTTGTACTAGCAGTGGTAATTGTGCAGCCATATGCTGGCTGATTTAGTAATTTGAAGAAGCTGAAAGCTCTCTCCCCTCCACCTTCCTTTTGTCCTGTCCTCCCCTCCAATAAATGGTGAACAGTTTACATTGTCTTATTGCTTCTATCTATTGTCACCCTATGCAATTGGATGTGCACCAGTGTTTTATAATGCTTGGAATGTGAAACTTTGTCTCCTGTAGAAATGTGGTCATCTGTTTATTTTGTCCAAGCCATGGCCCAGATCAAGAGTCTCCCAAGTGGGCAAAACTATAGCGTGTTTCATCTGGAAGTTGTAGTGTGATACAAAATAATAGTCACCATGAAAATATGACCATAATATCCATGTTAATAACAACAACTAAAAAAACCTAGCACAGCTCAACAGGATACGTCCAACGGATATTAATTTCCTTTTCAGAGGCACAGAGAGAGACTCAGCTTCATCTAATACACAGTAAGGCTCAGCTAAGTTGAGGTAGATCCAGTGTCTGCAAAGCTTGGAAGGAAAAATTCCAAATCCAGTGATTTAACATCGGTCACTCTGCCTACTGAATGCCACCTACCAGTCCGTTCTAGTTTGCTTCTAGACATTTTGTTAATAAGGAAATTGAGGAATGGATTTTTTTTCCAGGAGTTTAATTGAATTTTTTGTGCCCTCGACTACTCCAGTTGTGTTATATTGTCACCATTTGGCTTAGTTTGTTCCTGAGATTAAATTGAAGTTACTATAATTGGAAAAAAATTGAAAATTAAGTAATGGCTAGTAGTTGTACCAAATTAAGTTGGGGGGGGGGAACGGTTGCCACACCTATTGTCAGAGGACAGGACAAAGACAAAAGTTTTTTTTCTTAACTAAATCCCCCTTTGCCATTGCATCCAAAACTGTAGGTTCCGTCATTTCTAAATTTAGACTGTTTGTCAGTTGCTGGTTTCTTTCTTCAGGATAAGATTTATGGATTTTTTTTCTTAACGTCACTGCACTTGATGAAGGCGCATTTCTAGTATTTTAATCTAGTGATTATTAGGCTATCTTTAAAGTAGCTTTTGACAAAACAAAATTGACTGCCCTGTAACTGGAGTTCACTGAAGAGTTCTTTCTGGATCCATGTTTGTTTTCTTACGTCAAAATTAAAACAAAAAAAACCCCAAACTAAGAAAGTCAGAAAAGAACTTAAGGCTTCAAAAAGATGCTGTAAACATCCTTCAAGAAACACCTGTTGAAAACTGAGGAAAATTCATGAACTTTCCTCACAGCTTCCAGTGTTATGCAGTAGAGGATAGTGTTACTCAAGATTTTGAAAGATTAATGGATGCTAGCTTCAGAGAGCTCCTTTTACCTGGTAAGTCATTTTTTTGTTGTATGCCAAGAACTACACTAGTGCAACATTAAGGATTGGAATTTGACGTGCAAAATCAGCTAAATTTTACTTCAAAATTCACTTCAGATACAACTCTCCTTTTTACAAATACTGTATATAGTGATACAAGAAACTTTCAAGACTGCAAACATGCGTAAAGGTTCTAGAATTAGCACAAATGAAATTAAGAGCTTAGAGCTGACCTTCTGTAAGTCTCTCTGTAGTGCAAACTTCCATGTGATCACAAGTATTGATACCTATTGATAAATGTTTGCATTAACAGCTAGTCAGAAATTTCAAATAGTTGTTCTTTCTTTGGAACATATGAGTTGTGAGAAATTATGAAGTATTGTGGGATTCAGTTTACAAGAGACATTCGTCTGAATGGTGACACATCGAAACAAGCAAAGAACAGAGAAAGACACTTCACTAGTAGCCCCCTTGTTAGATGCTTAACTGGGGTGAGAATCAGGTCCTTGCTGCAGTGAACTTCTTTCATTTATACAAAAAAAGGAGACTCCACTGAAGAAATTGAGAGGCTCAGTCCATAATAGCAAAAAGTTCTGTATATTAAAGCACCGTACTGAAGTTGAGGTCCTTGGTTGGAGAAAGGTGAAACAGCCTTTAGAGGTGCGTCTCTTCTGTCATGTGAAAGTTGGAAGCATTCTGTATTGAGGCCTTTCTGAAAGCTTTCTGAATTTGTTTTGAGAAATACTTTTGAAATAGAACATTTCCACAAAATAAGAAAATAATCTCCTGGGTGCTTGTTGGTTGGGGTTTTTTTGGGGGGTGGGGGGTGGGGGGAGAAGTTAACATGGCATTCTGTCGATTAATGCGTGATTATGCAGTTGTGGTTTGATGTAACAACTTTTTAGTGCATAGGAGGTAGACTTAATGTACTGTGAAAGTCCTGGCTTTGCATTTCAAAACTCCACTGTCATGTTATATGAATGTACTTTTTGTACATAATTCCCTTGGGATTTTTAATGAAAAAATTTGAGAGTGTCTAAAACTTTTAAGAGCATCATCCATTGCACAGAAGTGGGATTATATTTTTTCCAAATATTAAAACCTTTCAATTAGTGTATTGAGTTCTTATTACTCTATCCTAACAGTCACCTTTCAATTAATTTTAATCTTATCAAACTGACTATTGGTCAATCAAGATTAATAAATCCTACAAGTCTCTGTGTGATTAGAGTAGAGGAAAGTGAGCAAGTAGGTAGGCAGCAAACATCAAATTAGATGATGGCTGATCCCAGCAAGGGGCTAAAATGAAATTTTCACAAGCATCAGAGTTATATAGCAACAGTGGGAAGTTATGTAAATATTTCCTCCATTCCTACTACTAATGAGACCTACTGGGTGGTGTCAAAGAACATGAAGTAGACAAACAGTGACAGCAGAATGCCCGATGTTTCACAGTGGTTGTTCATCGAAGTCCTGACCATTTGATTTTTAAAACAGAAGAAAGTAATTTATTTTAATCTGATCAGTCTCTTGTAAACACCCTGTATTCAGGGTATTCAACTTTTTTTGTGCTACTCATGATTTATTCACTTCTGGATATATAATTTAAACATTTGCAGCATTATTAGCATTTTGTATGATCAATTTTAAATGTTTATGTCAAATGGCAAATGAATAAGAAAAGGATTGCTCTTGTAGAGAAGCACTAAGCAGTCCTCCTTTGAAAAGAATCTGCATGGGATAAAAATTGGTGTATGAAATTTATAAATGTCCTTCTGTGAGTGTGTCTCCAGAGACAGGTGCTTTTGAGCATTAGTATGACCTTGCTGTCAAATATGATGCATATAACAAAATGTAGTATTTCAGAAGGTGCATTTGGTCTGTTTCTGATTCAGAATATTTTACATGTTGTACAGTTGGGGGTGCTGTTTCTGAAATGTTATAATTTCAGTACTGGAAGAATGATTGATAGTGTTCATGCTGATGTGTGCTATAAAGTCTACCACAGCAAATGTAAAAGTTATGAATTCTATACTGGGTTAGCATGGCATAAATGTAAACATCACAGTTTTCAGTAGAATATGAACAAAACTGTAGTAATATCTTAAAAAAATATTGCTATTTAAATAAAACTGCCCTGACTGGCTTTCATGAAAAGGTAAAATTATTTCTCTCTAAATACTGCAGGAAAGACAAAAGAACAGATGTTTAGAGCCATGACGCTGTATTTGAAACAGCACCTTCATTACCATGCGAAGGAAATATGTCTGTTAACAAGGTGCATAAACATTTTGATCAAGTACTTATTTTAATCAAGGTACTTACGTTTCAATGTCAATGATTGTTTTGCAGTACCAGTTGTAAAGCAGACTTGGGAAAGAGAAGCTGCCCTTATCGAATACTACAGTGATTATGCAGACATCTCCATTCCTACTGTAGATTTAGGTATACCTAATACTGACAGAGGTGAGTTATCCACTGTTGTTGTCAGTTTTATGCAAATAACTGTCTAAAAATGCAAAGTTTTATGGATGATACATATCTTTCATGTATATTATATAATTAAGGAATTCTGTGTTTCTGTAGCACAGTTGTGCAGCCTAAACTGAAAAAGAGTGTTTTTGCCACACAGTGAATGGATGGAGAGTACAGTTTACCTATGTAGGTAGAATGTTCTTTTTAGTAAAAACCTAAATATTGTGAGTATGAAAGCATGGTTCGCTGATACACTCCAAGAGACAAAAATCGGTGTTAATACTGTGGTAAGAGTAAATGAGTTATTGGCGATCTTGAGTAAGACTGTGCTAGCAGTGGTAGACTGTGGTAGCAGAAGTCGTAAATTTATGTCAAAAGAGCTCAGACAGTACCAGCTGGTTACTGAGCATAAACTACTTGCCATATGGTGTTCAAATATTGTATGCTTGTGCCTAGTATGTCTTGATTTAAGCACAAAAACTAAATCTTAAGATTGGAAGATATTTTTATGACAAACAAGGTGGTTTTGAAGTAATTTGCTTTGTGTTTTATTAGAAAAAAAAAGGCTATGGATATGATGGCTTCCATGAGTTAATTAATTGTAGGGCATTTTCTTTCATTTGATCTATTATACTTAGGCTTATAGTCTCAGCTACAAACTATTACCTCCTCAATTAGAGGTGTCCAAGCTGTGGCCTGTTAGCTCTGTCTGGCTCAGTTGTCCTGATCTCTGGCTTATTTCTGGCTTCTTTTTTTGTCCTCCACAAGGTCTATTAGAGGCAGAGAGAGAATAGTCAGGGATTTCCTTTTGCACAGGGGCAGTGTGACATGTGCAACCAGTGAGTGTTTTCAGGAGGTAGCAGAACTGCTGGGCATGTGTGGACCATGTGTAGGAGCTGTCCCCAGCAGTTCGGTCACACCACAGGGAACAGACCTTCCACGTTTGGCCTTTGAGCATTGCCGTGGGGAGCAGTGGGACCTGTGGGCTACTGGCATTCTGAATTAAACAAATTCTGCTGAGTTTACTCTAATAATATTTTTGTCCCTCTTTTGACATGGAATATAGTATAGAAATTTTGGTTTTGATTTTGTAAATGTTTATGTATCAGTCTGCATTAAGTTCATGGTTTGGCAAAATCAGCAAAGCCAGAACTTCCTTCATTTCTTGTTACTGCATTTTCTCAAAAAAATCTTTAACTGAAAGTAGCTTCAAATATAGTATCCTATCCTTACTTTTAATGCTTGTTTAGCAAGTATAATAATTATTTCATTAGCCAATCAACTGTAATCTAGGTGAATAAAGACTGTTTGCAATTAGACTTTTCCAAGATCTAAAAATGCCGTGGTAGGAGTCTGAAACTTCTGTTTCTCTTGTGCTGCTCATTCTGACCAAGGGTGTTTCACTTCTCAACTCCTAGTAAAAGTGTGTTTTAGCTCTCAACTTTATTATAGTGTTGTGATAAATGTTAAGACCTTTCCTTGGAAGAAGTCATCAGGACCTGAGTTGCTAGCTATGAACACAGTAGATTAATTTAGGCTAAATATTTACAGGGAAGCAATGAACCTGCCAGATGCGTTATGAAATACTATAAAGGTATCTTGGTGTATTTGCAGAATATGGTTGTATCATTGTTTCCTCATTTTACATTTTTGGAAATTAAAAGTAGCAGTTTGTCAGGTATTGTCCAACAGCTTAATAGAATAGCTAGAATATAGGTTATTTTTCAAGTTGCCGTAATTCAAAGAATTTCCATACTTCAGCTTCCTTCAGAAGTATGTTCCTGCATAGAAAATAATAATTGTGTTGGAACAATTTGTACAAATACCATTCAGCGCAATGAAAGAACTTGCATCTCAAGTATTTTACAAGTAATTTCCAGAATGTTTTGCATAGTGCTGTAAATTATTTATTTAATTAATGAATAATCATTTATTACAAAATCTCATTGTGTTTAAATTTACATATTCTGTTGTTTCTCTTCCTTTAGGTCACTGTGGGAAAACTTTTGCCATTTTGGAAAGGTTTTTGAATCTTAGCTCCCCCAGAACTCCTTGGTTAGTCATAGTGGATGATGACACACTGATAAGGTATGCATTGCACTATGTATGTATGCACTGTTCATGTCAATAGGAGTTTTAGCAAGATTCATATCTTCTTTTGTATTTAAGAGATACAGCTACCTTATTAATGTAGATTTATATTCCTTCAAGAAAAAAAATTGTCACTTTCCTTCAGAGTTACATGGCTGATATTGAAAACAATGTAATCTTGTAAATTCATAAAAACTATGCAAATCAGTGTTATTATGTGTTTACAAATTGTCATAGAATCATACAGTGTATTGTGTTGGAAGGGACCTTTAAAGATCATCCAGTCATACATTGTGGTTCTTCAGCATGTCATAGGCATGTCTGAGCTGATTGGTTTTAGTCATTTGCTAATACACTTTCTAAGATGTATTCCTCACATAAACGTGCTGAAAGAAAAGTTCTGTAAAAGCTACGGCCACCCAGATTGGTATCCAGGGACTTCCCTTTCTTAGAAAAGTAGTTCCCATTCACATGAAAACTGACTGCAGTATAAGTGAAATGAAGCTTAGTGATCAATCGGCAGGATCACATGGTCATAAACATGAGAATAAGTGGTTCAAGGTAATACTTTACCTTAAATGATGTGACAGAAGAAGAGTTCGGAAGAGTTTATAACTAGATAAAGCAATATTTATATAACTAAATCAACCTTTTTGTTTTTCAGTTCCTGAGGAGAAAAGATTATTTGCAAACATCTTGCCACTCTTTGGAAAAAAACATTTCATGTTTTCTCTGAGATGAGACTCAGTTTTGTTGAGAAACTTTGCTTGCTTCTTCAGAAAAGTATTTTTAAGCCAATTGATTCATCATTTGACCGAATTAGGTTCATAGTAAATAACCCATCATAAATTTATCTTTAAAAGTTTGTGTCTCTGTTTTTTAAAAATTTCTGAATTTCTCCTGTCATTTTTGTGGTGTTTACTAGAATGCCATTTAGGATAGAAATGCCTGTTTTAAAATGATTGTCTACATAATTTAATTCTTTTAAAATGGATTTTCATACTACAGTATCTTCAGGCTCCGAAAATTGCTCAGCTGCTATGACCCGAATGAACCAGTGTTTCTTGGAGAGCGTTACGGTTACGGCTTGGGAACAGGAGGATATAGTTACATCACTGGCGGCGGAGGGTAATTTATTTAAACTCCTACTGAGATCTACATCAGTCCCTGCTTTGAATGCAAATGTTTTGAATTACAAGACAAATAAGTTGCAGCAGAAACTGTGATGTTTCCTAGTACAATTCAAATGTAATGATTCTCAAAGACCTAAATGTCCTAACTAATAAGAAGTCGTGCTGTCCACTGGGAACAGATCTGTAGAGCAGAACAGTTGGTGCTCAGGACCATGCATGCTTCAGGAAGGGTCATTTCAGCTGACTGTGAACTGAGTACCTGTTAGTACCTGAGTACCTGCACCACGTGTTCTCCTGATACACATCATGCAGCCTTGTTTTGTCTGATAGATTTAATTCTGCTTACTCAGAGACCATCTTACAGAGTGTCGTAAGCAGAGACAATTGGAATAGTTGCTTTAAAAAATGCACTTTTGATCTGAACTGTTGTGGAGTTTGCAGGAGCACCCAAACCAGCACATCTAGAGATACAGATGACCACAAGTAAAATATTCTTTCCTGTTCTTTGTCTTTGTCCAAGCATGGAGAAAAGTTATAGCAGTTCTCTTTCTGGTTTTTAACTTCATGCAATGATTTATGGACAGGTAGCTGAGCAAGGAGTTTAATGTTGATGTCCTGGAAAATAGTTTCTCATAGAAAGAGATCATTGTAAGTTGATCTCATGCAGGAGACACAGGGGTCCCTGTGATTGTGTGCAAATTTTGGTTTAAATTAACATGTATATGAACTTCCAGGTTGGCTTATATTGCAATAAGAACAATCTTAAGACTCTGATCAGTCCATCTTGCATGTCTAAAACCAGCAGTTTGGATATCTGAATGTCCTTAGTGCCTTTCTCTGTGAAAAATAATGGCTATAGTAATTTACTAGATATTTATTCATCCGTGAGTAAGTAAAAATCAGTTGACTGGCTTTCTCATTGTTTTGCATAGTTGCATAAGATCTCACTTAAGCAGAGTTTGTGCTTGAGTTAAGAAAAAACCTTTTGACTGGTGCTGGTACATTTGTTCGTTACCAATTATGTGCTTCTGCACCTTTTTAGTGTTTGTCTCTTAGTTTCTATTCTGTCACCTAGATGTGGAAGTTTGGGGCTTATTTACATTCTCAGGTTTGAGGAGATAGAGGCACAGATCATCCATATCTGTAGAAGTTTTGCCATGCCCCAGTGTCAGGCGAAGGATTGTCATACAGTGAATGAACTCATGGAGCCGTGTAGCGATTTCAGAGTGTGAATCTTTCTAGTGTAACTTGTAGTAGCTATTCTGATCAGGCTGGGTGGATGTTGTAACTTCAGAAAAGGCCGCTATGGAATACCAGGCATGAGTATATTACCTCAGCTGTTGAATTTAAAATATCATCATGCTTCTGGTCTATTTAAGGCTTATTTTAATGATAATGATCTAACAGCTTCAGGCTCTGGTTGGTATTTAGATGAGCAAGAAAGTTAGGATGAACTGAAGAGCCTTGCAGTGGCTTCAGGGAACATTCTTCACTTATGGAGAGAGCTGTATTAGAGAGGATTCAAGGAATGACAGGTCAGGTTTAGGGCTCTTTTCATTTAATTGCTGCATGATAACTAACTGGACAGTACATTGGAGTAAGACAGGGGAAAAGATCTCTTTAAAGTCCTGGGCAAATTTAAGAGGAATTATCAACTGTGGCAAAAATGGTGGCTAGCTAAGTAATTGTTGGAATAACGACGATTGGCATAATTGGTATAATTAATTTTAATTATATAAAGTAATTATCTTCCAGAAAATGCCTCTTACACTACTTGTCAGTACTGACTTCTCAAATTTTGAAATTTCATTTATGTTGTACCAGAGGGCTGCATTTTCTCTTGCAGTTTTATATCATTTACCAATATTTGTTAATTACAGTCATTTGGTTTCTCTAGCAGTTATTGTCTTACATGTTTCATGTGCTTTCTTTTTGTATTCAGGATGGTTTTTAGCAGAATAGCTGTTCAGAGGCTACTTGCTAGTAAATGCCGGTGTTACAGCATGGACGCACCAGATGATATGGTCCTTGGGATGTGTTTCAGTGGCTTAGGAATCCCTATAACGCATAGTCCACTTTTCCATCAGGTCAGACAGTTACTTTTACTAGTATTTAAAATGTATTTTATTATTTTAAGTACACATATAAAACAGGGCTTATAAATATTGCAAACTCATAAACATTGCAAACTGGATCAATGTGTAATAACTATAACCAGGATACTGCTGCTATATCGTATTTTCTTCCAGAATGAGTTTGATCAAGCAAATAAGAATATTCTCAAAGCATGGATTACTACAGTGCTTTAATAGTTTATAAGCTATTTCAGTTACCCTATGACTACATTTTATAAAAAATTCATTTTATAAACTGCAATAGGAGGTGGGAACTTAGGAAAACAAGGATAATTAGAAGCCACATGCTTTGAATACTTGTGATATGTCCTTTTTTCTTCAGGTAATGTAGCACTGGCTGAAATTTGTCAGTATATTTCTCTTCTCTACTTATCCAGTTTTTATATTGAGTCAGTGTTTACTATTTTGAAATATCTCATTAGTGAAGACATAAAATGTAAAGTATTCCTAGAACTGTGGCTTTTGCACTGGATTCAGAAGAATGGTATAATTATGATAAATTGCCCTATGTTAGCATGAGGGACAAAGAGGTCACAAGCCATAATTTTCTTGTGACTGTGTTCTCCAGTCTGGGAGAAGTGGGTTGGAATAGATTTCAGTCTTGTTTCTGTCTTCCAGAATACTTAACAACCTAGCTGTAGTGTCACAGTGAAAAACTCGATACATTAAGTCCCAGAGAGACTTGTTGACTCGTAAACCAAATAAACAGTTTACGTTCCTCCCATGGCATCAAAGAGAAGAAGCACTTGGAATTTTTCCCAAACAGTGCATTTAAAAAAAAATAAATCAGCATTTAAATCAGTGCAGTGTTTGATGTTTTTCAGGTGTTAATCTAGTTTAAAAACTGAGAAGATCTGTGTGAACTGAGATTAAGATAACAGACTACTTGAAAATTAGTGAATTGCCATGTAATTCAAAGCAGATTTCACCAGGGAGGAAAGTTTGCTATTTAGATTATCAGGTTTTCCTATATTAAGATTTTCTTTCTGGTTACATTTACTACTTAAAGAAATGGGAAGACTTGAGTATAAACTATTCAATATTTTAATTCCTTGTTCATATAAAAAAATCCTATCTGTTTACTTTCCTGTTTTGTTTATCACTCTTTTCAGTATAAGTATGAAAGAAAGCAAGTATTGCATCTTGTAAAATCAACAGCGTTATTGAATAATTTCTGCTTGCACAGGTGTTTTAAAAAAACCCCAAACAACAGCCCTTATACAACAAAATTAAGCACTTACTTGTAGTTCTTAATGGTGTACATTTCATACTGAATCACTTTGAAAGTTAAATCCTAGCAGTTTGATTTTGCCACACAGAAAATTACGCTTGAATTGTAATTTGTCTTTGCTGTTGCTTATAACAAATTCTCATTTAATGTACCTTGAACAAAAATTAACCCTGGGGTGAAAACTACCAAATAAAAATTGAGTGTGCTTATTCTGTGAATTCCACTATTATGCAACAAATCTTTTAACAATGAGAAAAACAAAATTGGATTTTCTGTCAACCAGAAAATTATTTTTTAAAGACTTGACTGAAATATTATTATGTACAATGTCCCTTGCAGTACACGAATCCAAGTTGTGATGAGTATAGATTATGAAACAAAGCAAAGAGCCCTTCGTCCTTAGGGTGCCTGTGATGTAGCAGTGTTTGCTGGCTCTCACTGGTTTGCTGTTTGCTGCGCACTAAGGTAGATGCAGGTTCTGTAACCTGTTCCTGAGGCTTTTGGCATGATGAGACTCTTACAGACAACAGGAACCTTCCCTTGTTGAGTGGCAGCCAGGATTGTGGCCTTAAAATACAAAATCTGGGCAAGAGTATTTGGATTTTGTGGAATGCCCAATACAAACTCTAGCACAAAAAAAAGCAAAGATGACAATAATTGATTCTACAATATGTAAGGAAGAAGGAATTAATGGAATTTCTATCTTAGGTTCAACCACCTATAAAGCAGTATGATTCTTAGAGAGCAAAGTAATAAAAATGATAGTTATTAGAGCAGATCTCATTCTTTTAGGATTATCTAAACACTTAAATTTCGTCTAGCTCAATAAAAAGCTGACTGCTTTTGTAACAGCAAAAATCTTTGGTCTCAGATATCTAAAATCTTTCTATCCAGCGTAAATTCTTCAGGTTTTCGAAGCTTAAATGTTCACTGAAGTTTTTTTTTTCAAAAGTCTTGAGGGAGACAGGTTCCATCATGATTTCTCCAGTGGAATTTTTAAAAATAAGCACTCTGTGTTTTAAATATCAAAATAATAATTATAAAAACCCCAGCAATGCCACATATTCGGATCTCTTAATGTCAGATTCTGTTGCCCAGTTTAAGACTGGAGTGTATGCAGAACTGCATGAAGCACACAGCATGCAGAATTCATTAACACCACCATACGTAGGTGAAGCATGCAGTATTAAACCAGTTACTGGCTTAGGCACCAAATCAGCGATTCGGTATCCACATCACTCAATCTTCTTGTGTTTTACATGGGGAAAAAATAATGCATTTCTCTTTATAAAAACTCTAGAATGGCAATATCTAGTTACATTACCAGGGACCACTACAGGTGGGACAAATGAAACTTGCTTGGTGCATTAAGAAGTCAGCTGCATCATGTGGCATCATCTGATAGAGAATAACAATGCGGTTTTCCAGCACTATAGTATTTCCTGCATCTGGTAGCCTTTCCCTGTCATAAAACTTCATATATTTGTGCTGCTTATGGCCTAATTAGAATCCTACAGTCACACTGGCAGTGCTGGCTACTCTCAGTAAGAGGAGGGGCAAGAGAATATTACTTAAAATCATTTTATCATAATTAAATCAAAGCTGTATTTTAACTGATGCAGTACGAGCTATGGTGTTTTATCACTTGTTTTCATAGATGGTGACTATTTCATCCTGAGACACAGGGCATATTTCATATCAGTGTACTTGATAGCATGATGACTGCAGCGCGAGTTGAAGATCTAAACTAATGCCTATCATGTGATGTAATAGAATGGTGTAAAGTCCCTTTCTTACCATCTTGTGTATTTTGTTGGTTGCTTTGTAACGATACAAAGGCCATTGAATGGTGTTGCCATTGAATGGTGATACTTTCTTCTTCTAAAATTGTTCTTCATCACTGAGTAGTGGTGGTTTTGGTTTATTCTTCCATCTTAGGCACGGCCAATGGACTACCCAAAAGATTACCTTTCTCACCAAATTCCAGTATCGTTTCACAAGCATTGGAATATTGATCCAGTGAAAGTGTATTTCACATGGCTGGCACCAAACACAGAAGAGTCACTTAATGGAAAGAAAGTTGTGTATAACAGGGAGGATTTATAAACAGTAGAAGAATTTAAGTGCTGATTAACGTACTGCAGATGAGAGATAGTCACTACTGTGATTTTTTTGGTGTTCTCATGTTGTTCATCTGTTTATGACATAGAAGTGTTCCTGCTTCTTACATTCCTCCAGAGCAATGGAAGAAGGCACCTGATTGACTTTTGGATTCTTTGTTACACTTGGTTTCTTTCTAAAATGTTTTTTGGCTTTGTATACCAATGAACTTGACACACATTTAAAGCGTCTCATACAATTTTATCCGTTCTGGTTTGGACTTTGAGTCAGACGGCATCAGTTTACATCTCCTTCCTTTGTTGTCTCAAAAGCTCAACTGATGTATTTGAATATTGATCGCGCGTTGAACATTCACTGAACAACTTCTCTCATTGACTTAAAGGAAACAGCTATTTAAACTGCTCTGGAACTGGTTCTTGGTAAGTCAGAGAGGAGGCACGACTTTGTTTCTGTGGCCGGGAGGTAGGTTGGGCGAAGGCTGCGTTCCTTTACAGTTACTTCTGATAGAAATATTGCCATTTCCTGGGATAGATGGACCAAGTATGGTACCTGTTGTACCTTTTCAGTTTATTAAGGTTTGTGAGAAGAGTGATGTTCAAAATGGAAAAAAAGGTTAAGGATAGGGATTTCTTAAGTGGCCACGGGAGGTCACTGTGGCTCCTTTAGAAACCTCAGTCACTGTGTATCTATTTGGCAAGTATAAATGTGACTCTTAAGGATTTTTGCAGAACTAACACTTCAGTATTTCTGATGTGTGTATTTCAATAGTATATGAATGCCAGCTTTACTATTTTGTAGTATTTCTAATTTATATCATCAGGATAAGTAACTTTATGCATACTACATGTAAAGAGTGATTCATATTTAAAAAGTTCTTGATTTTTTCTTTGAGTAATTCAGTTTTGTAAAACTGTTTGTATAGAAACTGTTCTAAACTAATTTTTATACTATAAACCAGCTTCTGTTAAGATGACAGTATATAGCACTTGTATGCTATTATTTAACTTCGCTTGCTCTATTGTAACCAAATACAGGGTCTTAAAGCCATACTGCTGAAGTAATTTGTGTTTTGTTTTCTTTTGGTAGGTTAAAAATTGATTCCACTCCAAAGTAATGCAATACTCACTTTTAAGTTGAAGTAGGGGATCCACTGATTCCTGTTTCAGTGATTACTGAAGTTGTATAAACATTTGTTTGTGAACGTAGCTTGTGGAATTTTAAGCATTTGAATAGCAAGCACATATTCATAATAGATTCAAATTCTGATTAAATAGGACCAATCCAAGTTATGTCTTTTTTTCTTCCCACTATCAGTGCCTTAAGCATTAGACATTTCACTGCTACCAGGACTATGTTCTCCAGTACCATGTGTGAACTGTTTATTACGTTTACTGTTTAGAACTGTGAAAGCTGAATAAAAGGATTCCTCTTTAACTTTTTGTGCCTTCTTCCTCTTTGCAAACCGAGTACAGGATTATTTAAGCACTGGTGCCATAATTTTATCACCTGAAGAGTATTCTATGGTCAGTTGTGCTAAGGCAGCTTAAAGTTTGATGGTTTTTTCCATATTCTGTCCTGAGATGCTTCCTCAGATTAGGTTAATTTTCAAGTCTATAGTTTTGTGCAAATGAAAAATGCTTTTGCAATGGGCACCTTATGTGATTGGGAATCTTAATGCTGTCACAAAATATATGTCACTACCAGATTCTCCAGAGCTCTTGCAACGTAGTCCAGTCACTTCCCTCTTCAGACTGGTGGTATTTCACACCTTGGGCCCTGTGGAGGCAGGATGGGTCAGGCAGAGACCATGAGCTGTGTTGCACTTGTAAACTTCTGTTTTATGTAGAGATTGGGAGCCATCGACTCATTCACTGCCTGCTTACTTGGACTGTCACTTCTGGTCTGACAAATGTAATTGTAGCTGTCTTTAAGTCTGTCTTTTCTCTTGCCGTTAGCTCTGGGTTTTACTGCAAGGTTTTGTACGTATCAGTAAGCGTTAGACTCTGATTCTCATCTTCATAGTTTTGAAAGCAGTGAAGCAGTAACTTACTCAAGTATTCTGCCCCCCAAACTCTGACTTCTGAGACCTAGTTAGTGATAGGCAACTGTAGCAGCAGCGTGACAAAAGTGACCTTGTATTCCACAAACTAAGAAATAGAAGATTTTTTTCCAAGCAGAGGATTCTCAGAGAGTTTCTGAAAACAAGATGTGAAGCTCTCTATATTAAATTCAGTTTTAGAAGACTCAGCAAGTCTGAAACCTAAAGACAAAATTGCAGATTAATGAGCCTGAACAGTACTAATGTTTCTGAGGAAAATCAAGGGGAATACAAATGGTATAATGTTAAAGCAAAGAGAAGGGGAATTCACAACTCACCTTTGTAACAGGCAGATTAAGATGAGACTGCAAAGCTGATTGATTGCTTAAAATTCCCTTTCTGGCACATTCCAGAATTGCGGTGTGAAAAAGAAAATCCAGGAATCATTATTGACTGTTTTTAATGTTTATAATATAGAAAATTACCATGTGTTAAGATATTTATTTCATGACATTCCCTTGATAATTTGGTTGGTTGGTTAATCTGCTTTCAGGAGCCAGAAAAATTTTGCAATACTGGTACGTTCAATGTAGCAGGATGTGTGCAGGATGAGAGATCGAAGTATTTGAGTCCCACATTTGATTGCAAGTGAGAATTAGGGCTGTGAATCCATTTTTATTTCCCTGCATCTGCAAATGGCCCAGGCATGGAGAGACCCAAAAGGACCTGACCTTTGTCTGTCCCTCTGTGAGAAGGAAAATGAGCAGGAGCCTGAGCCGAGCTTCCCAGCTGGGAAACTTCTTTTTTGTGCAGGAAAACTTTGCCTCAACACCAGCTCTAGTGACTGCTGACTGCAGGGAGGAGTCCCAGTGAATTTATTTTCAGTTCCTTAATTTCTCATGGTTCAGGACTTCTGTTATCGTGGCTGGAACTAGAATATGACTCAGCCAGAGGCCCAAGATCCCATGCCATTAGATTCCTGGAAGGTGAGATAAACACTGAGTAAGGACTACCATAACAGGCTACCGTGAAGTGCCTCCAGAGCCAGTAATGCCACTTCATTACCGGAAAAACATGGAAAAGTAGCAAGGGGTTTGCTTTTTACAGCACCGTAAAACTCTGGAAGCTTAAATACTGGAAAGAAAAGATGCTGATATGAAGCCAGTGCCAACCATAGCCAATGTTACAACTCAAGTTCTCAGCCATCCTTGCCATTCACTCCTGAAATTCCTTTTGAAACGTAGCAGTTGTGGACCATGGTCAAGGACAAAGCGGATATGGCTATGTGAGCTTTGGACATTGGGCATTTCATTGGATTCCAGCAGGGACAGTCCCAGATGAAGGCCTAATCAATCAGTCTGTTTAGCCTGAAGCCCATCAAGGTCCTCATAGCAGGAACCCATGTGTTCACCCTATTTCTACAGGTCAGGCCAGCACTGCACCCCATCCTCACAGGGGTGCTGCATGATTGTGTCTGGTACCTGCTCCCCAAATGCCTGGGAGAATGGCAAAAATGTGGCACATATGCCTCAGGAAGGAGGGAAACATTGGATGAGTGAAGACCTAGTGGGTTTTTTGATTGTCTTAAGGAGACCTCTCACTGGTCCTGCTGCAAGTTAACCGTTCCCTTGCTAGCAAGGTAGCAGCAGCAATACAGGAGGTAGCTCTAAGCAAACATGGGAAGTAAAAGCCCATGTGAGGCAATGCTCAGTTATAGCCTACACTGAGGTCCCATGGTCTCATTCTGCTCATTCACGTAGCTCTGCTGAGAAGTTCTCAGTCCGTCTCTTGTCCCAACAAACCCAGTTAACAGTTTGTTCTTTCCCTTTCCCTTACAGTTTGTTGAGGCTAGAATTTTCCTGTTGGTGGATTGTATGTTAACCAAAATGCTTCTGATCTTACAAATGCTCGTTCTGGAATGACTTAATAAACAGTGAAATGCATTTTTTAACCAAATAAAATGTGGAAATCATCCCACAATTACCAAGTTATTGTCGTCTTGTGAGGAACTCTGTCAAGTGCAGTTTGAATGTCTGAAAAGATTAAAAGCCCTGCCAGAATAAGATTATTTTGTTTTACAAGAGCTGGCTTACCTCTATCATGGCTTGCAACTTGTTCACCTAAGTGGTATAAGTAACACTTCAACAAATGCTTGCTTTGGAAGCCTGTAATTGTCCTGCCAGTATTTCAAAAACTGATAAAATATTTGCTGCCCTTCCAGCATCATCGTAGGTGCTGCTTATAATGAGTGTTTTCATGATCTCTGTTAGCGATTCAGCCACTTCATTCTTAAAACCTTTCTTGTTTATTGAGTTAATATCCTGGAAAGTCAAATGGGTTACAGCGAAGAGGGCAGAGACTGTAGAAATGCGGAAAGGAAAGGGAAGGAAAGGAAAGGAAAGGAAAGGGAAGGGAAGGGAAGGGAAGGGAAGGGAAGGGAAAGGGGTAAGTATAAAAATGTAGCAAAGTGTGTGCAGCTTTGATGTCCTCACATGAGTGCTTACAGCCATATGCTCATAGATTTAGATACCGATCTCCATGTTGGAGTCAGTCTTAGCAAACCTTTCTGAGAGGTTTCTGTTGTACTCATCACTGCTAGGACAGAGGATTGTGGATTTACCTTAACGAAGGACAAGCTCACGCTGCAATTCACTGCTTTGGTTCCTTGTGTGCAAATTCGCAGTTGTTCTCCAGCCTCTGAAGAACGAAGATTCAGTGTGTTGGTTAACTCCCACCTTTACATCCACCTGCCCCCAGGCAGGATCTCAAAACAGCAGAAATTACAGCCAGTTTTAAACAACACAGCCAACATGACTTGTGGCCACATGGGCAAGCATAATAAAAGCACTGCTCTTCGTGGAAAGGTCTATTCAAGCACCACAACTCTCCATGCACTGAACAAGGCAAGGTTTTACTGCAGAAGAGTCCAACTGCGAGACTGAATGGATCCCAAGAAGAAATAATGTGGCCTGGCTCGTTGCATTGTCATTGTGAAGAGATATTGAACAGAAATATAAAACACAGTGCAATGAGTCAGATTCTT